GAGAGAGAGAGAAAGGGAGGGAAATCCAAGAGGAATGATGGAGAGAGGCAGGACAAAGGGAGGAGAGGGAGAGAGGGCAATGATGTATGCCACTATGTAATGAAACAGATGGCAGAAAAAAACCTCCATCCCTCCACTGTTTTATTCTCCTCTTCTAAAACACAATGATCTCTTGTCCTCTGTTTTTTCCTCATTTACTGTTCTTTATTTCCACCATTTTGCCTGTTTTCTTGGCTTTCTTGTTTTTCTTTTTATTCTCTTTAAGACTTTCTTTATATGTTCTTCCCTTCTTTCGTTTTTTTTGTCTTTTAACCTCTTAAGATCCACAGTTCCTGTAGTGCAGACTCATAGAAATGTGTATAAAACGATGCTGTGTATTTGATGGGATGGTGTAGAGCGTGGAGTCTTGGGTTTGAATACTTGAATAAGGTGATTTTCCAGCGTCTGAACCTCCTTAAAAGGAAACTTAAGGGTGGAAGAATCCCGATATTTCACTTTAGAGAGATACCTGAAGCAACATGCAGCATCATAATGCAAGGGCTGTGTTTTGGGGTCTGAGTATGAGCAGTTGGTGTTACAGCAGTCGGCTGTAGGAGAGGGAGACAGCGAGAGAGATTGCGTCCTCTACAGATGGACAGATGAAGGAGGGAAAGAGAGGATGAGTAAGGAGGAAAGGGGAGTGTAGTAGGTTCCTCAGCTGTCCTTCCTCTGTTTCTCCTCCATAAAAGAAACATCCACAGCCTCACCTAAATATCTTATTCTCTTTTTTTTCTATCTATCGTTATGCCCACAGCTCTTTTCTTTCTGTCTTCCTGTCTCCTTTGTCCTCCCAACACATGTGTCCCTATTCCTATACCCGCTGTCTTCCTCTTTCTACCCGGCTCTCTGCCCACCTACTGTCATCAATCAGAGAGCTGCTCCTGTGTTGCTCGCTCCTTCTTCTCAGTTCTTCTTCAACTCCATCCTCCTTCTTCCTTTCTAGTCTCGTGGTTTCATGCCCGCTTCCCTGAATCTTTCTCCCTCTTCTCTCACCTGCTGCTCGCTTCCGTCTCGCGCTGTAGTTTCATAGTTTTCATCTGAAGGTGTTATATTTGGTCTCAGCTGATATGGTGAACCATATCACTGTTTACAATTTATAGTATCTTTGAATCTTTCTTTTCTCGACTGGTTACTATATGATATTGTTCAATAGTGTCTTGTATCAACGGGAATAATGAGAATAATAAAGATGTCATTTGTCCTAGCATAGCATAGGAAGCTAATTGCGGATTCAGGTTGAGGAAGAAAAAACATATTAACATTTTGATTAAATATTTGGTAAACAGGATTATGCATCTGACTAGAAATGGAATCCAGCTTTAGGTACCTGACAGTTTTTGATACTTGGGGCTCAATGAAAAAAGTATTGATGTTTTATATCCAGCCTATAGGCTTAAATGGGTTTCTCAGGGCTGCATGCCTCGCTTTGAGACATTCACATGGCTGTTTGTTTCATTCTTTTATGCACAATTTGTAAAACCTTTTTTTCTTTTGTGTGTGTCATGCCTGGCTATGGACAGGAGTTAACTGAATCAACTAATCAGCTTCCTTGACACACAGGTCCTCATGTTGTGTTGGTGGGATTTGGACAACAAGTCCTCCAACAACATAAACGGCAGCCACCACTCTCCTATTTCCAGTGTCGCTGCACCAGAAAGTGCCCTGCTTGTACATCTCAGCTCCAGTGGCAACGTTTTTACTTCAGTGACAGCTCCCTCTCCCGCCACCTACTCACTTCTTGCTATTGCTTGTGTGTACAACAATGGATGAGGAGAGATTAGTTGTTAAGATGGAGAAATATCCTAAACTATACAACCCACAACCCTCTCATTATAAAGACAATGGCATGGCCTGGCGAGCCATATCTCTGGAGAATGTCTGAGTTTAAATAGTGGTTTCCCCACATGATTTAAAAGAACAGTTGGCCTTCAGAGGTGAAACATTTCAGGTTACATCCCAATAAATGGGAAAACTATACCACTGTCTGTTGTACCAATATTGGGTAGTAATAGCAAAGGATTATTTCTCATTGGCAGCAAGATGCTTAGGGGTGGCTCTTGCCAGTGTTGCAGACTTGCAGTGGTGTGTTTAGGCCTTTAGTCCTCATGGTTACAATAATATACAAGGTTAAAGGTTTGGAACAATCAGCTGTCTCCTGTGTTAAAGTACAAAGTTTGGCTGACCCGTCCATCCACAACACTGAATGATCAATATTGAGTATTTCAATCCGGTATCACGCCAAAGGGTGTAACACCATTTGTCCACCGTGGGAGTGTTACGCTTTGCCTTGCCTACACGCGACGGTGTCATGTTTTCTGCACGTTCTCATTCTGTGTTTAAGTTAGCAATAATTATTGTGCAACATTCAGCTACACTTTCAAAATAAAGCAACAAAACTACTTGGTGAGGAAAAGATCCTAAGTTAGTTATATTATGTACCTCATATAAGTTAAGTACTTTACTTTATATTACATAACATAAACATCAGCTTCCTGGGTTCTTTGGTGAGTCTGGGCCTGAATGTTTAATTTGAGGCTGATACTGATTATATCATCTTTATTTTGGTGCTGTTCTAGTTGCAATCACTTATTTTTCCTCTTTAGTTTTGGTTTGTCTTTCTTTGTCTTGGCCATTCTCTCCCTCTTTCCCGTCTATCCCTCTGTTTATCTCGCCCAGCCTGACCCAGCAGCACACTCATCATACACGGACCATAAAGCACAGCAGCCATAAGTTAAGACTGCAGAAGGAGGGATCCCAGCCGCAGGTTTCAGACTCAGCCTCACATTTTCTTCCTCCCTGCAGACAGTTCACTGTTCATTATGGAGATGGTAGTAACAAAGTGGAAATACATATTTTAACAGCCACAGATGGCGCTCCAATGACTTGTTAGCCGCAACATTGAATGAGTCACTAGTGATGAGATTCAAGGAAGTCAGTGCGTGAAACAGCTGCCCCGTAGGGCCATAAAGTCACTGTGCGTTTAATCGCCTTCCAATATTACAACATGAAAGAGTCGCTGTGTGTTTAGCAGCTCAGAGAGTGGCAGCCAAATGACTGAAATGTAAATGAAAACATGCCTTTTAGCTGCCAGAAATAGTAATTTGCTGTTTTACTCATTCGTGCTGCAGGTTAGTTTAGGTGTCAAAAGGAAAAAAGTGAGATGTTCTTTACG